AAACATTTTACTCTTTCATTGTTCACTTGTTTGTATGCAAAAGTAATTTTTTGTTTCAAAATGTTTTTATTGTTGTTTATTTGTTTTTGTATAAAATATTTTATAACATTCTTCAGTAAATGTTGTTTTCTAGTATGTAGATTAGTTTAGTTTTGTTTTGTTTGAAAGTTTTTTCCTTTTATTTTAATTTGTATTTCAAATAAATTCAAACTTTTTCAATGTTCACTTTTTATATGTGTCATTATGCAAAGATATTATGAGATAATAATAAAAAAAGCATTTCATTGACCATTGTCAGTAATTTTAGGATGTATAATTCATTCATATTTGTAAGTTTTCGGCAGGAAAGATGTTGTTATGCAAATGTTCTTTATCAGTGTTACGGTAATTGTAGTGCATTCATTATTTTCAATAAGATAATTTTAATTAATATTCTTTAAAAAAATTCTGAAAGATTGGCATATTAAACTAGCAATAAATTACATTTAAATTAATGTGTCGAGAACAACAGTTAATTAAAATTTAAATTATGCAATAAATTATAAGAATTAAATTTAACTTGGTATATATATATTTTAATAGAATTTAAAACTTTCATAATTTTAATGAATTTTCTTTATGTTTGCCAGTTTAAAATAAAAAATGGAAATTGATATTATTAAATTTTGTTTTGTTTGATAGTATATAGTTTTATATATGTATTTGATGTTTTTGTAGAATTTAGATTATATAGTTTATTAAAAAAAAGTTGAAATTATTTTCTCTTTGTTCTTTCTTGACTTTCTTATGACCATGTTGGCAGAAGTGTTATGTGAATATGCAACAATTACACACTTGCTGTCAGCTAAAATATGAGAAAACTGACAAAAAACGCTCCCATATATATAGGGACATGACCTAATCGATCAAGTAATTACAGTTGTTGACTTCAAATAACCAACCCATTACCATAGCAGGTGATAATTCCACCAGCAATCTTTGATTCTTTTATGTGACAAAACTGACCTGTAAATTGAGGTGCCCTCTTAATTGTTTCTGAATTATTATTAATAATCAAAAGTCACTATCTGACTGTAACAGTGTCAGGTGGACTGTAAATAAATACATTTATAATGCTCTTTGCTGTGAATATAATTTGAGTCTTTTCTGTATTTAAACTACTCATTAAAACACTTACCCTGCTGATCATGTTGTCTTATCAGGCCCTGTACTGTTGCTAGCTTAAATTTAGTAAAACTTTTACTTTTGAATGGACTGTTCCAAATTCACTGAGCAGGGCAAATCCATTACATAAATTTAGCAGGGTTAAAATGCATTTTACCATGGTGGCCAATCACATGGTTTGTTGCATCATGGACAAAAATAAAGTGGCAAATTTGAGGGTTATTAATATTTTACTTTCATCAGAAGGATTTCCGATAAAAACACCTTGATGTCCTTATACCAATATTATTCCTTTGTTATATCTGTTGATCAGACAAATCACATGATGCTTAAATTTCAGAATATTTCAGTCTATATAAACAAATATAGCCCTCCAAACAACCACTGCCTTCCATTGAATGTAAATATATATGAAATATTTTTTCTTGATAAATAGAGCATTTGTGAGTGAATTGGGTGCCAAAATTATTTCCTTGTTCATTACATTCAAAGCTAATGTCTCCAAGCACAAGTGCCATTACAAGTCTTCTTTTTCTACAAATAACAGTACTTGTAAATTCTCTGTTTACAAAAAAGAAGAGTTTTGATTTTAAAACATTATTAGAAAATTAATACTAAACAGTAGCAGACAGGAATTTAGAAATATGGCCCAAGAGCAAAATTTAAAACAAATTTAGCATGCATTAGAGTGATATAAGCAGGGAACAATATTGACATAAGGACTTGCACCATGTAGATGTCATTTTAAGGGAATGTTTTGATTGAAGTAAAATATAAATAACACTCACATTTGCCACTTAGTTTATCTTTTGTTAACAAGTTATTGTTATAATCATAGGAAATAAATCACAGTAAATTACAATTTTCATCATTTTTGCATCAACTACGATTTATTAGTTATTGCCCCATTTATAAAAACACAAAATTTAACCAAATGAGGTAATGCATTAGTGTCTAAGGAAGGTTGTTTGGGAAAAAAACAAATCTTGCCTTTATAGAATGGACAGTGGTTTTATTGAGCCAGACAGCTGTTGACATAGCTTGATTTAGTTGTTGCAATGGCAGTTTAATGTACATGTTTCTGAATGCATCTTGCAGACCTTATTCAAACCGTAATTTTATCATAGATTAAGGGATTATTAGATAACACAAATCCCAAACTCATTGAGACTTTGTATTGCCCACATGAACCAGAATCATAGCACAAAGGTTAAGGAACAGAGTCATGCCAATATGTACAGCCTTACTTGTTACTTAGTACAGACCCAGACAAATTTGTACAGTCTTACTTGTCTAAATAGTACAATGCCAGTCAAATCTGTTCAGTCTTATTTGTCTAAATAGTACAAAACCAGTCAAATCTTTACAGTCTTACTTGTCTAAAAGTACAAAACCAGTCAAATCTTTACAGTCTTACTTGTCTAAATGGTACAGTGTTAGTCACATCTGTTAAGTCTTACTTGTTACATAGTACAGTGCCAGTCACATCTTTTCAGTCTTACTTGTCTAAATAGTACTGTGCTAATCACATCTGTTAAGTCTTACTTGTCACATAGTATAGTGCCTGTCAAATCTGTACAGTCTTACTTATGTAAATAATAAATACAGTCAGTCAAATCTGTAAAGTTTGAATTGTCTTAATAATACAGTGCTAGTCGCACCTCTACAGTTTTACCTGTCTTAAATACTGCTGTCAAATTTTTTTATAAAAGGAAAATGTAAGCAAGTTAAAGAAGATTTGAGAAGGTGATATCTTGCCTTTGTTGAATAGATAGTTGTTGATGATCTGTGTAGTAAGAAAAGTAAGAAAAATGTTAGGGGAAAAAATATAGTTTCTCCATTTTCAGGCAAAAACTGTCCCTCTATCAAAAAATATTATTACGATGTTCTTATGATATACAACCTTTATCTTAGCCTCCACTTAATTTGGTCATGTTTGATAAAGAATTCAGGAACTTCCATGTTGAATCAAGAATTGAATCAAGCGGTTTATTTACTATTTCTGCTTGCCATATGACCAAAAAATGACGTTAATGTCGGACGGTTTTGAAACATTCACAACTTGTTGGCAGTATACTTATCAACAAGATTTAACAAAATTTTGATTTGCCTACAAAAACCATCATGAACCAAAAAATAAAGAAATAAACATTAATACTATCAAATATCAGTAAAGGTTTTTAGGTATCAGTTTGTAAAAGCGTTTATGTTTGGATGATTTAACAAATTTTATGAATGTGTATTCTGAGATGACATGAAAGTTATCAATCTGTTCTACAAATAAAGCAAGAAACATCTGTCCGTAAACTTTTACTTTAAACGACATTAAAAGCTAAAGCTAAACCAATTTCATCCCAACTTTACAGGAATGTTCCTTTAGTGGTCATCTTTAAAAATTGTTTAAAGAATTAAATTCCATGCAGAACTCTGGTTGCCATGACAACCAAAAGAAAAAACTTAAAATATGTTCTTTTTAAAAAAACACAAAGAGCTAGAGCTTAGATATTTGGCACAAATCATCTTCTAAACCCTGGGGTCAAAGTTGGCCCCGACCAAGGGAGTCATTGATTATCCTTATATGTCTATTGTAAAAACTTAAAAAAATCTTCTTTTAAAAAACCCAAAGAGCTAGAGCTTAGATATTTGGCATGAAACATCTTCTAGTGAGTGTCTACCAAGTTTATCAAATAAAAGCCATGGGGTCAAAATTGGCCCTGCCCCGGGGGTCATTGATTTTCCTTATATGTCTATTGTACAAACATAAAAATTTCTTAAAAAACCCAAAGAGCTAGAGCTTAGATATTAAGCATGAAACATGTTCTTGTGAGTGTCTATCAAGTTTGTTCAAATAAAAGTCCTGGGGTCAAAATTGGCCCTGCCACAGGAGGTCATTGATTATTCTCTTGTTTTCCCTAAGCAATGGCAACAAGTAATGTTTTTACACATGCACTATTTCAGATACAAATATGAACTTTATGATATCAGTTTTAGATTTAGATTTTATATATGCTTTTGTTTATAGATTACAATAGTACTAATATAATTATGTTCCTTGTAAACAGGTGAGCAATTTCAGGGCCATCATGGCCCTCTTGTTGCTTATATAATTTAATAGGAGCTAACCTGTTTCTGCACTAAGGTGACAGTATAACAATATTGTTGTATGACAATTTATTCATACACAATTTCCACTTCTGGCATTTCTCAGAAACCTGTGCCTTTGTTGGGTTTTAAAATCCCATTATGCTTGGATATGCAATCAAAACTTTTATTTTTAGTATCTTGTTACAGTTTCCAAATCATTACTCATTTGCCATATAGATGAACAGTTACTGTCATTTACATCTGTTGCTATATATGTTATTGGTATAATTAATAATAGTGAAATAGTATTTTGTATGGAAGTCAAAATGCTACTTTGTTTCCATTTTGCTATGTTTATGACACATCACTGCATGTTCAGGGCTACTTTCTTCATCTGCTAAACATTTAACATGGTCTAAATCCATTATTAAAACATTTTAAACTAATGTTTGCCATTTTTAAAGAATTGAAAAAATATGGATTTGTGAGGCATTGTTAAGGTTATATGGCAACTTATCAGCACAGCAGCTTGGGAAAGACTTCAGGTGCCCCAACCTTAAGCACCTGAGCAGAATCTTCAACTTTTTTAGCTGAATAGCTTACTGATTATAATCCTGGTGACTTTTAACCCAAAGGCAATTATTTGATGTCCCATTTCTATCTTAAAATCTCATTATCTTAAGTTACCTTTTGCATATTTCTTTTAATTTAGCATTCAATGAAATAAGCAAATTTTACTACTTTATTTTCAGGGTAGATCCCCAGAAGACAAGATATATTGGTGCGATATGTGGACTGGGAACTGACCCAGTTTATGGACATTCTGAGCTGCCAGATCATGACATTGAGGTCCCATTTGACGTTAAGTTTAATGATGAAGATATTTCCAAGGTAGTTTACATTCTTGAATAACCACAGGTGGAAGTTATAAATGGGATTTTTAATCTTTTGTTCCTTGGGTTGTATGTGATTTGTTATATTATATAACAAAGAAGTACTAATTATTTGTTTACAGTCTTAACTTGTATTGAGAGAATGCCTAAGGAAATTGCCAAAAATGGTTGCTTAATATAATGGTCTCTTAAGACGAAGCACTCTGTTACAAATTTTCATATCTTTTCGCTTGCGGTGAGTGCAAGTTCTTTTTATATACATGATCCATTATGTTATTGAATTACATTTTGCCAAAATTGTAATACTCCTTTTGTTTTCATATTTTTTTATGCCCCCGCCATGTAATGGCCGGGGCATATAGTGTTACCCTGTTCCGTCATTCCGTCCTTCCGTCCTTCCATCCTTCCGTCATTCTGTCATTCCGTCATCATCAGTTTCCGTTCATTATCTTAAGAACGGTTGCACACATTCAACTCAAATTTGACATATGGATATGTCATGAGAAAATACAGGTCAAGTTTGAATTTGGTCATGGTTCGATGATTTTTGGCAGAGTTATGCCCCTTTAACTTTGAAAATAATATGAAATTTTCAGTTTCCGTTCATTATCTCCCCAAAGGTACAACACATTCAACTAAAATTTGACATATGGATATGTCATGAGAAAATACAGGTCAAGTTCGAATTTGGTCATGGTTCGATGATTTTTGGCAGAGTTATGCCCCTTTTACTTTGAAAATAATATGAAATTTCAGTTTCCGTTCATTATCTCCCCAACGGTACAACACATTCAACTCAAACTTGACATATGGATATGTCATGAGAAAATACAGATCAAGTTCGAATTTGGTCATGGTTCCATGATTTTTGGCAGAGTTATGCCCCTTTTACTTTGAAAATAATATGAAATTTTCAGTTTCCGTTCATTATCTCCCCAAAGGTACAACACATTTAACTCAAATTTGACATATGGATATGTCTTGAGAAAATACAGGTTAAATTTGAATTTGGTCATGGTTCGATGATTTTTGGCAGAGTTATGCCCCTTTTACTTTGAAAATAATATGAAATTTTCAGTTTCCGTTCATTATCTCCCCAAAGGTACAACACATTCAACTCAAACTTGACATATGGATATGTCATAAAAAAGATACAGGTCAAGTTTGAATTTGGTCATGGTTCGATGATTTTTGGCAGAGTTATGCCCCTTTTACTTTGAAAACAATATGAAATTTTCAGTTTCCGTTCATTATCTCCCCAAAAGTACAACACATTCAACTCAAACTTGACATATGGATGCGTCAAATGAATGCGCAGGTCAAGTTCAAATTTGGTCATGGTTCAATGATTTTTGGCAGAGTAATGCCCCTTTCACTTTGAAAGTAATATGAAATTTTCAGTTTCCGTTTATTATCTCCCCAATGGTACAACACATTCAACTCAAATTTGACATATGGATATGTTTTTGGAATGCCCAGGCCAAGTTCGAATTTGGACATGGTTCAATAATTTTTGGCAGAGTAATGCCCCTTTCACTTTGAAAATAATATGAAATTTACAGTTTCTGTTCATTATCTACCCAACAGTGTTACATATTCAACTTAAATTTGACATATGGATATGTCAAAGGAATGGGCAGGTCAAGTTGGAATTTTGTCATGGTTTGATGATTTTTTGGCAGAGTTATGTCCCTTTCACTTTGAAAATAATATAGATACATCTTAGGAATAAGCAGTTTAAGTTAGAATTTGGTCGTGGTTCAATGATTTTAGACAAACTTATCTTTCCTGAATGTTGGTAAAATTTTGAACTTTCAGTTTCAGCACTCATACTTTTAGCCATTATTTTGGCTACAAATATGCAATATGCTATTTTTAAAAGGTTAAGACTGAATAATTTCAGTGCCTTGAACATTGTATGAAAATGGTTTGTGTTAACATTGAAAAGTTTTAAGGGCTTTGAACTTAAAATGAAAAAAATAATTAATGCACCATCTGAAATTTTGGCTGCATGCGGGGGCATCCGTGGCATGATGACACATTTCTAGTTTTTGTTTAACTCCATTTCTTATGACACCAAACCATTCACCAATACTGACTTTCTGTTGTATATTTTGTTAGTTAAGATAAACAAGCTTGGTCTATTCAAAATGATTTATTGGTCGCTATAGACAAGATATTAAAGTAAAAAGTAATAATATAATGTATAAAAGCATCAGAATGGCACTGTCATTGAAAGTCTGAACACTAGAATTGTGCAGCAAACATTAGATTATCCTTTGATACTATACTTTAATGGTCATCCGTCTGCCTTCCTACTGGTGGCATTGGCATGCCATTTTCACTGTGTTCACTTAAGAAAATAAAAGCACAACGCTTGACTTATTCAAATATATCTGAGAAATTATCTACAGGAAATCAATTGTTGACTGGTACTCTTCATAGGTGTCTCTGTTTATCACCTTGACAACAAACTCAGACTCCTTGACAATGAGCTGGTTTTCAAATTCAATCTTCTCAGGCCATCCTGTTGTTGGTGGCTGGACTGTTATTTTTCCAACACATTCACATTCTTCTTCTTGTGTGCAATACTTCGGGTTATCTTTGTTTGACCTATAGATTTTAGTTATGACCTCTTTATGCTTGATATCTGTATTAGTGAATGTGTCATGTGCTAGGAAGTATGCTTTATCATCAGGTCTTAGAATTTGGCCTTTTTTAATCATTTTATAGAAGACGTTCCCACACCTTGCTTTCCCATCATGTTCCTTAATTTGCTTCTTTGGCCTCCTTAATAATCTTTAAAAACGTAAGAGCTGGCTTTCTCTTTCATTTGTGCTCAGGTGGCCCTTTAGAATGGAATTTTTCAAAGAAATAGCGGGCTTTTCTCTATGTCACCTGGGTGAAAAAACCCATAATTGCTGCGCCCTTTAGAACTGCTAGACTTCCATTTCCTGGAATGACGACCTGCAGTCCAAGGCTGCTGATCTCCAACTTGACACGCTCCTGAAAGTATTTTGACTCCGAGAACCCACCAACAAACATGATAACATTTATGTCCTCTCCTTTATTTTTCATTTGCTGGTACAAGTCTCTCAAGTGATGGAGTATACTTTGAAGGGTGGATTCAAACAATTCTAGCATTACAGCAGGCTTAATTATTAGTTTGTCCTTGAAAAACCGAAGACCATCACTGTAGTCACTAACCTTGAGAAGTTCTTCAAAACTAGTCTTACACTCTGTCTGTACAATGTCCTTTAGATCATATGGAAGTCTGAAAAGAGTAACAATAAAGCTTTTAAAAAAGATGCAGAACTTCTAAGCTTTATGTTGAGTTATGTTATAGAACTGTTACCTAAATTTGGAGAAAAAATGTAGGCAGCTGTTTGCACAGTTAGTAGAGCTAAGTTTGAGTTCTGCTCAGGCTACACATTTTCTAACCCTGTTAGATTTGGTACCTGATGAGGGACTGTATAAAGCTTTGAATCGATTTACCTTGTTCATCAATTCTGCATAGAAATTCAAGCATAAATTTACAATATAGTTGGGGAGTATAGTTGAGGAGTACATGACGGTATAGAGCTTTTCACTTATTTTGGGAGAAAATGTATATTAAACAGCCAGTTATAGCTGTGGACAGTTACCTGTGGACTAGGTTTTGAAGGAGAGAAATGAGGTACTGATTCAAATGAATACCAAGAAAATATGCATGGTCTTTGATATTTTAATCATGTTAAAGATGAAATTATAGAGAAACAAAAGAAACATGTAAAATTGGAAAAAAAATAATGCTAGCAGTGTTCTCAGGACACATCTTTTTTTGTTAGAGTGCATCAGCACTGACCCTCTTAAAGTTTTAGTAAGGAAAACCTGTTCAAGACTTTACTGTGATATTGAAATAATTTGTCTGTTGAAAATTTATACATCCTAGTTTAAAAATTGACAATTTTGTATAAGTTAGTCATCAATGAGACTGAAAAAGGAGTCTACCTTATAGCAGTGTCATGTTCCTGCATGGTTGGAATATTTTCAGTTTTTGTATTGAATGCCTTTCTACACGTCACATGATCCTGTTTTAATTGTATGAACTCTTTCATTAGTTCCATTGGAATTGAAAATTGTCTCTTTTTTAACTCAAAATCATTCATTAACTCAAAGTATTCAGGACTTTCATTTTTGAACTTCATCCAGGCATGTGTGCCGACAATATTTTTTATAAGCTGGATAAAATCTTCGTTTATGTTCATCCCGCCTTTTATATCCCCTGTGGATCTATGGATTTCTCTCAGCGAATGTGCTATCAGCACCTCATGGATACAGATATCTGTAGTTCCACCGCCGATATCGGCTAAAATATACTTCTGTCGGGTAAGTAAAGCTACACTCGTAGCCATGTTATCATCATTTTGGACAACATTAACTGGTTTATCGAGACAGTAAAGTGAAGCAGCTTCTGGTTCAAGAACAAGCATCAGCCGGTTTCTTTCTATTCCGGCTAAACTTGCAGCCTCTCTCATAAACTGTTTGGCACAGTCTGACCAAAGCGCAGGTACAGTTAAGACCCATTTGATGTTTTGAGATTGAATGTTAGTCATTACTTTCCGTATACTTTTTTCTGCCTCCTGCTTTAAGAACTTGATTGTCTTTCCAATGACAAGCAGTGCTGACCGTTTATGCCCTCTAACATCTGATATTTGTAGATCACGAGTTAGTCTGGATTTATGTAAACTTACTTTATATCCCTCAAAAAGGGACCAGTTATTAGCTGAACCATTCTGTAGAAGACTAACGTATTTCTTCTTAGCATTTTCCCCTAGATAATCGACAGTATCTCCTGGACTTACTAGTACAATGTTAGGTATCCTTTCACTGGTTCCATCTATACAACAACTGTAAAACTCTTTGCTGCCTTTAAGAAGAAATGTATATCCAAGGTGAACAGTTCCAAAATCTATTGCAACTACTACTAAAGATTCATCCATCATCAAATTGTTAATGTTATTATAATCCAAACATTCATTCAGAAATTCTGTGTAATAATAAGTTATAAACACATGCTTTTAGAACTTCCTTTTAGCTTAAAAATTGCATAAGCATTTTTGGTTAGTTCAAAATTTTATAATGTCTATGATGTAGTATTATATAATTTCTTTAAAAATTTATTGTCATATATTTCTTAGCTTGAAACACCTATTATTATTATTATTATGCTGTCAAGTAGGAAGTGAAAATAGTGAAAAGGAAGTTAAAATTTTAGAAATTTTTATGTACCTTACATATTATTGCTTTTCTAAATTTAAAGATATTTGCACAATTGTACATTGAAACTTGATACGCTTGAAATTTGATCTCTATTGTAAATTTGTAATAGACTTGCCTTCTTTGTACATGTAAGAAATGTAAGCAAAAAATTGCTGAGGTTTAGTGCCCACCATTATAAACACAAGTTTATGGAAGTGGTTACTTACGTAGGTTTATTATTATTGGTAGCACGATCACCACTAGCTTTCAGACTTTATGTGCCATGGATATTAATGTAAGATAGTTCAACCCTATAATCGAAAGAAGTGTTATTTATTTAACCCATAGCAAGGCCAGCATGGTTTAAACATATTTATTCCCAAAAGCATATATAATGTACATACAAATAAACAACAAACAAAATATTTTTTTTACATAATGGAAAAGGATGAAAATAAAAGACAAGTGTTATAGAATTCTTCTGTCAGTTCTCCTTAAAGCATGGTTCATAGTACAGAACTAGGCCAGTCTGTATTAAGTCATTAGATAGCTAGGTCAGCCTGTTACTGTATTCAGTCAAGAAATATGCCTGCTGTACAGTTAGGTCTGGTGGTATTTAGCCAGTACAAAGCTAGGCCAGTGTGTGTTCAGTCGGGGCATCTGTGGCCGAGTGGTTAAGGTCGTTGACTTCAAACCACTTGCCCCTCACCCCTGTGGGATTCTTTCATGTGAGGAAGCTAACCAGCTAGCTTACAGAACATGGTTCTACTCAGGTAGAACCGAAATAATGCATTTGTTATTGCCCTTGACTTAGTAAAATATTTTCAGTTTTGAACATGTGTTTTGCATTACTCCAATGGTATTTCACCTAGAGTTATGAAACTTTATAGGACTGTTGGTCAGTGTGTGCAGTTGTTATGCATCTGTAGTTGAAAAAAATCAGTGTGTCAACATTGGAAAAATTAGATGTCATTAGCTCGACTATACGAAGTATATGGAGAGCTGTCCTACTCGCCCCGGCGTCCGCGTCCAGATTTTAGATTAAAGTTTTGGTGCAGTAAAATATTTTTCACTATAACTTTGTCATTTCTTAAGGTATCAACTTCAAACTTCAAATATATGTTCCTTATCATCAACCACATCTTATGTGACAAGGTTCATAACTCTAGCGCCAATATTTTTAGATTTATCTCCCCTTGAACTTAGAATTTTCCTTAAAAAATACTATTTTTTACTGTTACTTCTTTATTTCTTAAGGGATCAACCTCATACTTCAAATATATGTACCTTATCATCATCCCCATCTTATGTGACAAGGTTCATAACTCTAGCACCAATATTTTCTGATTTATCTCCCCTTGAACTTAGAATTTTCCTCAAAAAATGCTATTTCTTACTGTTTCTTCTTTATTTCTTAAGGGATCAACCTCATACTTCAAATATATTTACGTTATCAACATCCCCATCCTATGTGACAAGGTTCATAACTCTAGCACCAATATTTTCAGATTTATCTCCCTTTTAACTTAGAATTTTCCATAAAAAATATTATTTTTTACTGTTACTTATTTATTTCGAAAGGGATCAACTTCATACTTCAAATATATTTACGTTATCATCATCCACATCTTATGTTACAAGGTTCATAACTCTAGCACCAATATTGCAAGAATTATCTCCCCATAAACTTAGATTTTTTTACTAGAAAAATGTTATTTTTTATTATAACTTTTTTATTTTTAAAGGTATCTACCTCAAACTTCAAAATACTTATTCTTATCATCAATTACATTTTATGTGACAATGTTCATAACTCTTGAAGCAATATTTACAGATTTTTCTCTCTTTGAACTTAGGATTTTCTTTAAGAAATATGATAACTTCTTTACTTTTTAAGGTGTCTACTTCAAACTTCAAATATATATTTCTTATCATTACACAAATGTTGTGTAACAAGGTCCATAACTCTAGCATGACTATTTCAAGAATTATTCCCCTTGATCTTGGAATTTATGTTAACAAATGTTATTTTTTTACTATAACTTAATACATAATTATTATACATAATTGATTTTTCTTTCGTATTTTGTCCTCTTTACTGCGTCCAGTATTTTATTAGTCGAGCTTCGCTGTCTCCTCTGACAGCTCTTGTTTTTATGCCCCAACCACTTATTGGTAGGGGGGTTCAATTAGAATTTCTTTTGTTGGTTCCTCTGTCATACTGTCCTGCTGTACATCAGTAGACAGCCATGTGTTTGGGCATCCATGTCCTATGGACACATTTCTAGTTAGCACTTTTATTTTAAAGATGCTCATGAGAAGTGATTTAAACCTGAACATTTAATTGAAAGAACTTCAAGATTTTACTTTAAAAAAGCTTGTTTTAAAGACATCTTTCAGATCTTATTATTTCTCTTGAATAATTAAATAAAAGTACCATTTAGAAACATAATATATATGATCTATTTTCTACATATGTTCTATAGTTGTTATGTATGTATTTTTTCTTGAAAATAATAGGCTATTAAACATGGATACATTGAAAAAAGAAGCAAAAATCAATAGTATTAAAAAAAAAATTTACATGTTAAATTTTTCTATTTCCAGATAAATGCTATACGTATGGCAATAAACTTTGCAATCGGGAATCAGACTCAAGTTGCTGCCTGGGGACCAGATGCTGTTTGTAGAATTCAGAACAATGCACGAAAGAAAATGATGGAGCAAGTTTCTTACTACAATTTTAATACAGTTTACCACTAGCCTGTTCAATTTCATTAATTGACTTGTCCAGCTACCATTTTTTGGAAGGTCTTTTATAAATTTTTGGGATATCACAATGACTGTCCATCTGTTTGTTTTGACCTTTGAAAGACCTTCACAAATAAAATACTATCATAATAAGAAAAAGTGCATTGTGGCCCCTGCTTCAATTAGTTCTTGTTTGCAGGAGGTATTTATCACATCTAGCGACAGTTCAAGTAATTTATAGTCATGATTTCAGTAGATCATGTTCATTGTCAGGTTTTTACTTTCTCTCACACCTTTCACTTACACATCCGACGCGCACTATTTCTGCCTATAACACTCACGAGAGGGGTTGGCAGTACACAGAGATAGATAGATAGGTACCCAAGTAATATGAACAAGACTATTATCTGGCACAAATTTTACATATTTAAACCTTAAGTTTGCATGGGCTAGGACAATTAAATATACTTTATATTTCAGATTGATACAGAAACGTCGAGACCCGTGTGAGGTGATCAGTCCACAGCGGATATATGAATGGAACCAGGTTGATCCAGATGACGTCATTCCGCACAGTGTGGACGTGGGTGACGAGGCACAACTTCTCAACTATCACAGTGCAATACAACTTGATATTGATGATTCTGATGTATCTGAGATAACTAAACAGAAGGAAATGATGTTAAAACATGTGCAATACCTCAGACAGGTTGTCAAAAGGTAGGCTGGTTTTTCAAGGGTATAAAGCTATCTAGTGAAAGATTGGTTTATAAAATTTATAAATGATAAAACATTTTGTTGTTTCCATTACCTTATGGTCAGTTATCGAAAGTGCTAGTGCATAGACTGTTTGTGTTATTTGACATGCATGAAAAGTGTATGTAAACAGAACAAAATGTCCGGGAACAAAATATAATGCTGCTATTTGAAGTATTTTAGCCATTTAGCAATTATTTCTTGCATGCGCCATTTGTTCAACATATTTTTGTGTCGCCTTGAAAAGGCGACATATAGGGGTTACTTTTGTCGGTGTCTGTGTCGTTGTCGTCGTCGGCGGCGTCCCTTTGTTATTGCCCTTTGTTAATTTTCATACTTTAATTTTGTCCGGGCCATTTCTCTTCAACTAAAAAAGCTATGGACTTGAAACTTCATAGGATGATAGATCTCATTAAGAAGAAGTGCAGTGCACAAGCACCGGTACTCTGCACTTCCTAATTTTTGAGTTATTGCCCTTTGTTAATTTTCATACTTTATTTTTGTCCGGGCCATTTCTCCTAATGTATAAAAGCCATGGACTTGAAACTTCATAGGATGATAGGTCTCATTAAGAAGAAGTGCAGTGCACAAGAACAGGTACTCTGCATTTCTTATTTTTTGAGTTATTGCCCTTTGTTTATTTTCATACTTTAATTTTGTCCGGGCCATTTCTCCTTAAGTATAAAAGCTATGGACTTGAAACTTCATAGGATGATAGATCTCATTAAGAAAAAGTGCAGTGCACAAGAATCGGTACTCTGCATTTCTTAATTTTTGAGTTATGGCCCTTTGTTGATTTTCATACTTAATTTTTGTCCAGGCCATTTCTCCGAAAGTATAAAAGTTATGGACTTGAAACTTCATAGGATGATAGATCTCATTAAGAAAAAGTGCAGTGCATAAGAACTGATACTCTGCACTTCTTATTTTTTGAGTTATTGCCCTTTGTTGATTTTCTTACTTTATTTTTGTCCTGGTCATTTCTCCTCAAGTATGAAAGCTATGGACTTGAAACATCATAGAATGATAGATCTTATTGATAAGAAATGCAGTGCACAGATATGCTGCTCTGCACTTATTATTTTTTTAGTTATTGCCCTTTGTTATTTTTCATATTTCATTTTTGTCCTGGCCATTTCTCCTAAACTACATTGTTCACAAGGCGACACATCCGACTCGCGGAGTTCTAGTTTTAATACAAGTGTTAAGAAATTATTATACCGTTGTAAGGGGGGTATACTGGAATCAGCTTGTCCGTCGGGCCATCCGGACGTCTCCCCGTCCGTCGGTTTTTCCTTGTCCACCAAATAACTTGAGATTCCTTTGGCCCACAGTCTTCATATTTGGCATGGAGGTTAGTCATGATTAGTAGATGACCCCTATTGATTTTGGGGTCAAAGGTCAAGGTCACAGGGGCCTTGACTTTAAAAAGCTTGCCCGCCCAATAACTTGAGATTCCTTTGGCCCACAGTCTTCATATTTGGCATGGAGGTTAGTCATGATTAGTAGATGACCCCTATTGATTTTGAGGTCACTGGGTCAAAGGTCAAGGTCACAGGGGCCTTGACTAAAAAAACCTTGTCCGCTCAATAACTTGAGATTCCTTTGACCCACAGTCTTCATATTTGGCATGGAGGTTAGTCATGATTAGTAGATGACCCCTATTGATTTTGGGGTCACTGGGTCAAAGGTCTTAGGGGCCTTGACTTTAAAAAGCTTGTCCACCCAATAACTTGAGATTCCTTTGGCCCACAGTCTTCATATTTGGCATGGAGGTTAGTCATGATTAGTAGATGACCCCTATTGATTTTGAGGTCACTGGGTCAAAGGTCAAGGTCACAGGGACCTTGACTTAAAAAACCTTGTCCGCCCAATAACTTGAGATTCCTTTGACCCACAGTCTTCATATTTGGCATGGAGGTTAGTCATGATTAGTAGATGACTCCTATTGATTTTGAGGTCACTGGGTCAAAGGTCAAGGTCACAGGGGCCTTGACTAAAAAAAAGCTTGCCTGCCCGATAACTTGAGATTCCTTTGACCCACAGTCTTCATATTTGGCATGGAGGTTAGTCATGATTAGTAGATGGCCCCTATTGATTTTGAGGTCACTGGGCCAAAGGTAAAGGTCACAGGGGCCTTGACTAAAAAAAGTTGATTTTAAAATTTTCACATTTGAAGCATGGAGAATACATATCTTAGCAATGCACTGGCTTAGTAACCTCAGATTTGGAAGGGTGGTTGTCCTTGAGTTCTTAATGGCCACTGTTGATTCTGACAAAGTGGTATGTGGGGGTATTCACGCCATGATAGTGGCAGTTCTAGTTATTTGTCAAAACTCAAACAAAAAAATTGTAAACTGCAGGCAGTAGAGATAATAATGTAGGTGGTAAAGCATTGTTACAATTGTCTATTTTTAGTAACACAATGTCTATTTTTAGTAACACAAAGAGGACACCAACTTTATGTGAGTTATGTGATGTGTCATGTCCAACTACACAGCTGTTGGCACTTCATCTAGAAATGCAGAAACACAAACGAAATGAGGAGAATTTCACATGAAGTAGACAAGTAGGCAGCAGCAAGAGTGATATTGAAACTGATATTTTGTTTAACAGCAGATGGTCAGAGTTTGTTGTTGGAGAGATTATGTGTACCAAGTTAATTGTGGGAAAGTCATGGAAACGGGTTTAAAAAAAATTTAGAATTTTTTTTTCAAATGGAGACATTTCATTATTTTATTGTAAATGAAGCTAAGCAGCTGTAATTAATGTTTTTTCTTAGTCTTTTTTTTTTTGTTATTGTTGATACATATTTCTAAGAGGAGAGAATAATCTGTAGGAAACATGGTCTCACAATGGATATCTGCCACTGGTCAGTTTCAAATTTTTTATTTACTCTCACATCAGCTACTTGATCTATAAATTAAGATTGAAGGCAGTTTCTAGATATCCAATTTTTTGCCATTGGTTATACCCCGGTCACATATTCACGGAATACGCCCACGGAAGAGCCACGGATTAATTCCGGCATCGTCCGTAGCTACCCGTACTGGTCAGTAGCTCTCCGTATTGTAACCGTAATCAATCGTAGTAGTCCTTGTATATCCGTAGCGATCCTTGACAATTTTTGAACATGCACAAAAATTTGCTACGGAAAACTCAACCGTAGCGTATCCGTACAAGTCCGTATTAATCCGTACTGATACGTATTGGTCCGTACTGATTCGTAGTCCACCAACTTGTCAAGGATTTCCACGGTTTTGTACGGAGAACTACGTATTTGTACGGTTACCCTACGTATAAGCTACGGTTTAATACGGATTAATACGGCATTGTCACGGAAAGCCACGATCGTAATACGTTGTACTACGGAGAGGCAAGGATTAGCACGGTCTTATACGGTTTATTGCGTTGCAACACGAAACGGTACGGAATGGTACGGTCCACCACTGTTTAGTACGGATGAATTAAGTATCATGTACTTTTTCAAGGGTATAAATACTACCTTCTTGTTAAAAAACAGACATATTTGCGGAAACATTTAATAAATGATAATTGCCATTTACTGGCTGCAACTATATATTGAAATGGCTCAGAATGCGGAGGCAGTGGTCGAGCTGCTTGATGACATACATAGAAGTAAATTTATATTAATATCGTACTACAATTCAAGTAATAGAATAACATTTAATGTTACATATTTTACAAACATTGGATCGTAAAATAAGAGTAAATATGTACATAAAACGAAGTGTCTCATAAGCCTCGGAGGCTGGCCCTTGAGTGATAATAAGATTAATTAACAAAATGTTAAATCATTGAACTCTGCAATTCGTTTTCTAGGTGTTCTTTTCTTTTAAGGCATTTTGAAATGAGCAAGCAAGAGGTTGTAGACGGATGTATTAGGTCCGTATAGATCCGTGGCAATTCGTTCTTCTCCGTATCAATACGTTCTTCTCCGTATCAGACCGTACTTATTCGTACTAACCCGTGCTTATACCGTAGCAGACCGTAGTGTATCCGTAGTGCGTCCGTCCTGATTCGTGTCGCTCCGTATCAAACCGTGTCGGTCCGTAACAATCCGTGTCTCTCCGGGGGCTTTTGGTGGTAAATCCGTCGGACTCCGTACTCATACCGTTGTGTGTCCGTACTGGAACCGTAGCGGACTACGAAATTTCACATTTCCGTAGTAATCCGTGAACGATTAGACCGTAGCTCTTCCGTGGCATTATCCGTGAATATGTGACCGGGGCATTAGTTTGAAAATTAAATTTCAAACTCAGCTAATCAGGTTCTTAATGGTTATTCTTGAAGACAAGCTGTTAAAACTGGTCTTTCAATGGATCACTGTCATTGGTCAGTTTAAATTTGGAATTTCAAATTCAGCCAATAGTCTATTTGAAAGCTTTTGAAACTGCTTTCTAATTGGCCAGCTGGTAATTCGAATTTCAATATCAGCCAATTAGATACTTGATTTGACTGATCTTAAAATACTAATATCTTGCCTACTTTGATTTTATTAAGCCGTTCTAAAAATTGTTGTTTAAACAATAATATGAGTTACAACCCTTGTTTTGAAAGGAAAAAATTAAATGTTTGTCAAACTTACAGTTATGAGAACAAATCACTGTGAAAATTGTTCATTTATAAAAGTTTGATTTTTGACTTATCATTTGTTGTTAAATGACTATGGTAAAGTCATGATTTTAGTTGTACTGATGGGATTTTTTTTAGATAATGACATTGTTGTAGTATTCATGTTTTAAATAATCAAAGGGTTTATTCTTTAATAATTTTTTTTCATTTTTTCTGTTACTTTAATAAGTATTATTGTACCTATCAGCATTTGGGTTATCAAGTACTATTTGCAAATATCAATATGATCGTGTATAATAGACATGAAAGAATAACCATTGCAGTGTCAGATTTAATTTCAACTGTAGATAATATCAGAATACTATTATGTCGAATGACCTGGAAGATTTACCTCTTAGAATACAATCTGTCGGACATACAAACTGAGTACATTTATTTTTCTGCAGTCATTGTTGTATAATACAAATATTATATAATGTATTTCTTTATAGTATCAATTTATCTAAAAAATGTAACTGTTGAAAAATACACATATGAATCATATCTGATAATTAATTTCTGAAGTAAAATAAAAGTACTTGAGTTTCATTTCATTTTGATATGACAAACAGAAATGTAACTTATTATATCATTTAACAGCAATTTAACAATGTTTTATTGGTTTATTTGTTTGAATAATATGTAAAATTATGCATAATATACCAGTTACCATTGTACTTTAATCTAGTCGAGATTAATCATAATCAATCTACATGAAGCTTGTTTATTATCTTTAAAAAAATCATTTTTATACACTTAATGATTTTCACTTTTCCAGACATTGTAATCTAATATAAGTGATAAGTCATTTACTGGTGAAATAACTGAAAACCTGCCAGGCAGTGGACTTAATTTACTTCTGACCAAACAAGTAAAAACAATGTTTCAAGACTGCTGAGAAATTTGTCAATAATTTTGTAAACTGGTTGAATAACTATCAATTGCAATGCTAGCACCTAGTCAAATATTGTATTTATCACAGTATAATATATGTAAATTAACAAATTGTAATTGAGTTTCTTCTTACAATTAGAGAACAAAGAAAATGTCTCATTTGTATGTTATTTTGTTATGATGTCCCAATAAGTTCTTAATAAGTTGATTTTGAGAATTTCCTACCATCAGTAATTGGTAACCCTTGGTAGTCAGTATGCTGACACTACAGGAAGTAAATTTTTACCAAGATCATATGTGACATTTTCAGAGAAAGCCTGATACTTCAACTTTAGCTTGATATATATAGAGGATATTGAATGAGTGTAGGTTTAATACTAAATTTATTGAACGAGTTGAATAAAATCATATTATGCGAGCCTCTGGCGAGCATAATATTGTTTTATTCAACGAGTTCAATAAATTTAGTATTGAATCTACACGAATATAATATTCTATTTATCACATATATAAAATAAGAACGGTAAACTGTTAACAAAATTCATTTTTCTTTGACGAGCCTATAGTGTAACGCTAATATTAGCGCGCTTTAACGCTATGTTTATAGTGCAAATGACGTGACATCAAAGTGTTATTACACTAGTGTAATATTGTCTAGTGTAATATCGTTTTTATTAAATGGCTTTACTACACTTCTGCGCCGCGGTTCATGTGATAATACCAACAGGTTCATGAAACTGCCTTTCTTTAAATTAATTTGCACCATTTTCATATGATTATTTTTTCAACATGATGTGAAATATGTGGGTTCAAAAAGTTCTCTTCTAACAGATTTGTATAGTGATATCTTCTTTAAAATATTTTCTTTGAAATTTGTTGTGGTTTTAAATTGTATACTTACAGATTATTTTACCAAATTTGTTTAGGGATTTTTTTCAAATGTCTTTTAGTGGGGAAACAAATTAATGGTATATGAGTGGTATCACAACTTCTTTTTTATCACAACTTTTTTTCCCATCAGTATTTGATGTCATTTTAATATTTACTGAGTAAGGTAATAGTCTGGTTGTATATATGTATAATCATGTTGGCAGTTACCGGCACTCTGGCATGACATTAAACTGTTTGGTGCACTCTGGCATGACTTTAAACTAGTGAGATGGTCAGGTTGCTATTGTTGGTAACATTGAGCGAGTTTAAATGTATTGGAATACAGATTGTTTTTATTTCAGGTCTTTTTTCATTGTTCTCATTTCAAAGAAGTCATTACATATGTTCATACTCATTGTTTATTTTATTTTTTGATTATTATTGAACAAGTTTTTATAGAAATAAAAGTGAAAGATAATGAAATTTTATTGTTATTTATTTTTTCAGCAAGCAATGTACAAATGTAAGGCAGTTGTATGTAGCTGTGTGTCACTAATTTTACTATAGTTAAAAGTTTCACACGCAAATAGAAATCCCATTTATCATCAAAGTTTTACTATATGTCTTTAAGGTCACAATTGTTTATCACTAGCATGGGTTTGGACATAATTACAGCAATTTGTAAACATGTGATTTATGTTTTGTGTGCAAAATCAATCCACACCTACTGCAAGTATTCACTTGAAATTTCACTACAGTGTATGGCATCAAAATTGAAAAATCTACAATATACCCGCTTAAAATATAATCCCGTATATACTTGTCCAAGGACAGTAGACCATTTCTTCACACCAATTATGTACGCAATACATGTAATTTCAGAGTAGGTTTAGAACACAATCCTTGTTATACCCCCGAAACAAAGGAGTCACTCAGTGGTCGGTCGGTCCAGCTGCATTTTCTTTGTCCAGAGCATAACTTGACGACTAATGGTTGGAATTCAATACAACTTCATACAATGGTCAAGCACATTGAGAGGAAGTGCAGTCCACAAGAACCATAACTCCATCTTCACTAATTACAGAGTTATTGCCCTTTGTTACTTTTCTTTGTCCGGAGCATAACTTGAAAAGTACTTGTTGGAATTCAAAACAACTTCATACAATGGTCAAGCACAATAAGAAGAAGTGCAGTGCACAAGAACCATAACTCTATCTAAAGTAATTACAGAGTTATTGCCCTTTGTTACTTTGCCATTGCTTTTTTTGTCTGGAGCATAACTTGAAGACTATTGGTAGGAATTCAATACAACTTCATACAATGATCTAGCACATTGAACGGAAATGCAGTGCAAAAGAACCATAACTCCATCTTGACTAATTACAAAGTTTATTGCCCTTTGTTACTTTTCCTTGTCCAGAGCATAACTTGAAAACTACTAGTTTGAATTCAATACAACTTCATACAATCATCAAGCACATTAAGAGGAAGTGCAGTGCACAAGAGTGCACAAGAACCATAACACCATTTTGACAAATTACAGAGTTATTGCCCTTTGATACTTTT